TAAATTTATAATTATAACATATTATTAAATGAATCAATATGTAAAATATCACATATGAACTTTGAATAAAAATAATTCATTACATAATAACTCATAATATTATAAGTTTATAATATCATGTGATATTATAAAATTATTATTTTTTTTTTTTAAAAGTTTGGTTTTTCTTTGTTTTTTCATTCAGAATGTTTTTCAATTCCACCCCTTACTTAAAAACATTGGTTTGACTGGGAAAAAGCATAATTAATTATTTGGAATGATTTGAAGGAAAGGATTGCCTTGATGTTGGCTTGAAAGGTATTTTTTCCTTAAGGTTCTGAATGTTTTTTAGTAGACTCTGAATGAGATTGTTCCCTCCTTAATATTTTCAATCTCCCCCTTTTTCACTTTTCAATTTTTAAGGTTCCTAAAGGCATAATTAGTGAGATTGTTAAAATCTAAAGGAACTTTTTGTGGGGGGTACGGATGTTTAAATAAGATTGCTTGGGTGAACTAGAGTAGGGTCTGCCTTTCAAAATGCAAGGGAGGGCTTGGCATTCCAAACCTAGCAATTAGGAACACTGCCCTCTTGGGGAAATGGTGGCGTAAATTCTACAATGATAATGAAATTGACAAATTATGGAAAAAATCATTGTCAAAAAATATTATGAGGATGACTATCTTGTTCTGATTACCGACGCTGCCTCCTCAAGAATATCTCTTCTTTGGAAAGATATTTTATCTATTGGTAGGAAAATAATAGAGCTTCAATGTGCTTCCATGATGGTTTTTCTCGCAAACTTGATGATGGCTCAAAAACTAGATGTCATGGAAGGACGTTTGGTTAGGGAGCTCTTCTTTGAAGCTTGACTTCCAGCGCATGTTCAATCTCTGTGTGTGCCAAGACTCTTATGTTGCTGATTTAAGACCACAAATGATGCGAGCTCTCCAACAGCGCAGACCACCTTTTGGAAGAGAGATGGATAAGTTTGTGATGCTAGAAGATATCCTGAAAGATGTCCACTTTTCAAATGGTAAAGTTGATCAATTTATTTGGAATCTCTACCCAATGGGATACTCTACAAGAAAAGGCTTTTTTTTTTTTTTCTTGAGAATTGCCCTCCCTGTCTTGATGGGAGCCTCTGCAAGATTATATGGAATCAATTCACTCCATTTAAGGTTAGCGTTTTTGCTTGGTGACTTTTCTTGAACCGCCTCCCTGCAAAGGACAATCTTATCCTCCAGGGAGTTGATCTTGAATCCAATCATGTGTGCCTTTTGTGGGATTCATTTGGAAGATGTTCATGTGTTTGCTACGTGCAAATGGGCTCACAACCTTCGGAGTCGTATATGCT